ATGAACTGATCAGAAAAGGGGTATTTCCCTTTTTTGTTATTTCTGAAAAGTTGCATTGTAAACTCAGAACAACAGAAGTGTGGAATGACAATGGCTAGTAAGAAGAAATTATCTTCAGGCAGAGTCTGACAAATCCAACATTAAATTGCAAGTCATCACAGCATGGCTCAAATTGGGCAGAAAACTATTCAGGCTAAGTCAAGAACAAAACAACACTTTTCCAGACCTAAATGTGAGTATTAAACTTTCCCAGAGGCAAGACAAGTACTACTAATGTCAGTAATTTATTTTTATAATCACAGCAGTGTGTTGCAAGTGGACAGCTGTAGCTGCCTTAAGTGCGTCTCCTAATTCTTCATCTTTAAATGCTGATCCGAGGAAGATTTTTCTTATAAGTGAGGTTTTGCTTTAAAACTTTGACATATTTAACTAAACTCTCAGGCTGTCAAATGCCAGAAAGACCACAGAATCAAAAGTGTCATAATAGCGGGATTATTACCAGCTGATCCACAGGCAGCTACTGTAGCTTCGTTATTAGTCCATCTATTTTGCTCTTATTGTACCATGCATATCAGAACAGGGAAATATATTACAATGCATATCTCTTCAGTGGTAGCAGCTGTTTCATTAAGCAAATATTCTACACACACAAAAAACCCCAGTTTAAATACCATAATAACATTTCAAGAGGGTGAGGGGAATCTGCAGGATTTTCAATTGCTTTGTTCAGCAATCACAGGAAGATGAAACTAAACATGGCAAACCACCACTGTAACCAATCAGACCATAAACATTTTTTTAAAATCCAAGTTGATGGATGAGGTAGATGGGCGGGGGGAGGAGAGGGGACTGCTTTTAGTGCATTCCAGCCTTTAAAAAAAGATGTTTGCAATTACTTTAAATAGATGAAATTTCCCTGTCAGCTCTGATGGTCTGCTTGGCTCCTTGTTTCATGAGTCTATCATCCCTATGTGTGTAAATTATTATTATAAATGGAGAGGAAAGACCTTCCATTTGGATTTCATTGGACTAAAAAACACATCCTATAGTGGTAGACTCAAAGAGCACTATTTATTTACCTTAACAAAGAAAAAGTTAAAAAATGACTTGATTAGTCTATGTAAGTACCTGCATGGGGAAGAAATATTGGATAATTGGCTCTTCAATCTAGCAGAGAAAGGTATAACAATGGCTATAAACTGAAGCTAGATTGATTCAGACTGGAAATAAAATGTAAATTTTTAACAGAGAGAATAATTAACCATTGGAAAAATTTACCAAGGGTTGGGGTGGATTCTCCATCACTAGCAATATTTAAATCAACATTAGATATTTTTTCTAAAAGAGCTGCTCTAGCGATTATTTTGGTGAAGTTCTATGGCCTGTGCTATACAGGAAGTCAGTCTAGATGATCGCAGTGGTCCCCTCTGGCCTTTAAATCTGTGAATCCCCCAAATCCTTATACCAGTTCAGTTGGCAGGCACACTAAAACTGGCAATAAATACCATCTCCAAAAGGCAACTGTCTTAAATAACCACTTTAGAGAATCCCCAAGGTTTTCAGTACAATTTTGTATGACCTTTAGCTAAAGGCCTCCTTTGCTAGGCAATTGATTTTTTTTTTCAGGTCCCTTCCCTTGGGTGGTTGCTTAACACAGGTTTCACTGCATTTTAGTACAGCTGTGCTCATATAAAGAAGCGATTGGGGGGCTGAAGAACAAAGTATTGAATTTCTAGCATATCCATGCAGGTAAATAATTATGAAATTAGTTAGCCTACAGGTTTATTATAAAATGCACTGCTAAGCAAGTAAATTCTGAATAATAATACTTCAACCACCCATGTATTTTAGTTGGCTTATCTCTATCACATCATTACCATTTGGATGACATGTCATTTTGAGCACTTGGGTGCAGGTCCAGTTTGCCTTTTATTCCCAAGAAGAAGGTCCATTTGTTTCTGTTCCCTGATGAAGCCTCAGTTTATTATGTACTCAGCTCAATTTGCTGGAACAGCAAGTGTCACCTCAATGTTTATGACAGAGCTGATGAGGAGATTACAGTCTTTAGGGTAGCTTTGCAATTATCTCCTTCCAGAGCATCTGTGCTATATGCTCCCAGTGTGACAAGAGTGACTTGTGAAAACAATATTGAGCTCTACAAAAGAAGCCAGCTTGGTAGCCACAAAGGGTTAGTTTCATAAAAGGGACTTAGGTGCACCTAACTCCTATATGCCCTGCCATCCAGTGGAATTCATAGCCCCAAGTTAGAAAAGTCAGGTTCCCCATGCTTTGTAGGGGGAGTGTTTGGCACCTAAAAAGGGATTCCCAGAATTCAGCTATTAAGTAGGGAGTCACCTAAGCAAGACATGAATGAAATGCAAAAAATAGATGTGGGGCCTTACCCCCATCCCTCAATCATGAACCACCTTCTGAAGTTAGTCACCTAAAGTATCTTGGCCTGCTTCAGTAACCTGAGCCCTAGCAGTTGAAAGGAGGTAGACCCACTCTATTATAGACAATAGGTCAGTGATTAAGGAACTCGTGTGGAATCTGGGAGACTGAAATTCAAATATTTAATTATTTGAATAATATTGAATAATAATTCAAATAATAATCCAGCTCCAACAGAAGAGTTTTAGAAGCCCACCCCAGAATAGCTAGGGATATGGGAGATGTGGGCTCAAGTCCTTGTTCCAAATTAGGCATAGTAGGTTTTCAAACCTGGGTCTCTCAAGGGCTGTGTGAGTGCCCTATATACTGGCTATAGGATAACAATGAATTCTTGCCCCTGGTTGTCATTTGTGCAGGTTAGATGTGCTCAGGTCAGGCCCCAAAGGTGAAATAGGTAGGGGAATGCCTAGTCTGAGAATCCCGCCAGAGCTCGGGTGTGAGCTAAGGCACCAAGAAGTTTGGTGGCATGAGGACATAAGTGGCTTTGTGCATGCCAACCAGCAGAAATGTAAGCTCCTAAGCGATTATACCAGCAGAAACTGGGAGCTTAAGGAGTTTAGGTGATTACAAGGTTAAGAGACAGCTGGGTGGTTGTTTTGTCAGTCTCAGGGGTGCCTAAATGTTGGACTGAGGTGCCTGAAGAGGTGATTATGTGCCTAAATCCATGGTACATGGCAGTCCACCAGACAGTCATCATAATGTTCAAGATGCTTGATATCATAAAATATACAAATACAACACTCTCGAAAAGGATTCACTGGGAAGGCAGAGCCCTTTCCACCAGCTTCACTACAGGGCAGAGAAAAATATGAAAGAATTTCTAATATATGGATTAGTCAGGCTCAATTCAAATATTTAATTATTGGGAGCCATATGGTGAAGTCAAAATCTAATCAGTTCTTCCTTCTTCTACTCTGTCTGCCACCTAATCTAACTTTAACAGTTGAACAATGCAGGAAAGTATTATTGTCACTAAAAAAAAGAATGTTTTGAAGATAAAACCCAGGCACAATTCTCTATCAGCGCACTTCGATTGTCAGACTTTTCATTCTGTTTGTTCAGCTGGAGTGGGAGAGAAGAAAAACCTCTAGCGTTTATATGAAAACTTGCTCAGCTATTTGGGATGCAAGAGAATGGAGTTATTTCTTCCAAGTTACCATCAAATCTTCACTTAGGGGAAAGGGAAGAGAAAAAAAATCACAGATTTAGCTACTCTTCTATCAGGCAGCATGCCAGAAAAAATGCTTCCTTTGGAGAAGATTTTTTTTCAGAATTAATTAAATATCATAGTCTGAATCCTCAGCTGAAGTCAATGGATGTATGCTAGTTTACATCAGCTGAGAATCCAGCCTGTGTATTCACTGAAATAAATACTGTCTTTGTTCCTCTGCTGTCCCAACCTTTTATGTCCCAAATCGCAAAATAAAAATAGCATTTAATTAGGAAGTGTTTTGTCAATATAGTTCACTTTAAAGACCTCTCAGATATGTCAACATTTTTCTCACAATTTTTTGTCTGTAAAGAATATAAGCTCAAACCATTGCTTGCTATTTTTAAGAGGCTAGAAAACCACTAATTTAAAAGAACTAATCCACCTTTGCTTAAGACACTTTAACAAGAGGTATGCCTCTAAAATTTATTTTCTCCATTCAATATAAGCTTTATTTTCTCCATTCACTATATAAGCAAGACACCTTCTCTGTTGTTTTGAAGGAGAGCTGCCACAAAATGTGAACTCTGAAGAAAAAGGTCCCTCAAAGTGTCCATTAGGCTTTCATTGAATCATATTTGTGAAATTAACATTATCATACCATAGAACTTTCTGTTAGGGATGAGGAGAAGCCAATGGAATTGCAAAAACAACTGGAAATTCTCAGAACCAGACACTCATTCCGATTGGATGTTTTCTGAATCAGATATTTGTTTTATCTGGTATGTGAGGTGAACCAAGAGTGGTGGAGGATGATGTGTATATGAGAGAAAGAGAAAAAGAAAATGAGTAGAGGCTTACATTGAGGAGTAATGGGCAAATCTTAGTGTTCAGAGATTTGGACTGAATAAGCTGTCAGAAGTTCAGATACTTTTCAAAAGTGCACTCCAAACCCCTTAAGTCTACAAAATTATTCTATAAATCTGATGAGAACAGATTCTCACAAAAGGATTTTCTTAATTTTTACTTCTGTTCTGCCTGGAAATAAGACAAAAACAGCCCCTCTCCCAACATTTTGGCACTTCTATTTCTGTTTTTGGGTAGACCCAGGAATTGTAGATGTGTATGAAAATAACAAATAATGGAAGAGTGTGGTGGGAAAAGAGTTAGCAAAACATTTTCAACCCTTCAACTATCACCCTCCCCAACCCTGCATGCCCTTTTGACTTCTATTTTTTCTGCACCCTCTTTTCATTACCTCACTCTGAATGCACGCAACCGGCCTGGACACAGTGATTCTAAATATTCTCTGTTCTTCCCATGCTTCAGTTTCTTCCACTGACACTACCCCACTCTCAGCACACCCCCCTCATAGGGCTCCCTTTGTAGTCCACATTACCTTTAACTCCTAGTAAGTTTGGCAGTCTTTGCTGGCCCCAAGTTGGCTGCTGTCTTAAAATTTCACAGGCTCCAGGGATTTCCTATGCCAGTACTTCTGAGCCAACCCTCGAACTTGTGAGACTGGAATGGAGCATCTGGTGCAGGCCCAGCAGAGGCTACTACACCTACTGAGCGTCTGAGGCATCATGATGATAATACTGGGTGAGCCTATTAGAGAAGGGCAACGCATAGAGGGAAGACAAGGAAATGAAATGTGTGGGTTTTTCCGCTGATATACTTGAAGGGAGGGAGAAAATCATGTCATGGAAATTTAGAGAAAGGAAAAGCATCTGATTGCATGAGATGCAAAAAATAGAGTCAGGAAAATCAAAAGACTCATAACTTAAGGGGAACATAAAAACTTCTTGGATGAGAACCAAATAAAATTTCTCAATGAGATTCACTAATCACAAGCTTTTATAAATGGATCATAGGATGTTTTTTTAGCATCACTAATGTCTTTTATACTAATGCTATAAGGCCAATTGACTAGTGTTCTCTCTATCACTGGGAAACATGTCCAGTTTGCACAGATGTTTACTTGCATCAAGACAGAGGCAGACATGTGCAGTGAATACAAACTTGGGCAAGAGTATCTCCTAATTGTTTGTTTAACATAAAGCAGCCATGCCATCCTATAGCTCAGATGACCCACAAGGATAATGATGCCAAACAGCAGTAATAGAACAGAGCATAGCCATTTATGAAAGGATCACATGACAGTAACAAACTGCCATGAGATGGAAACAAAAATAGAAAGATATTTTACACCATCACAGCCCTACCTGAACCTGCACTCAGCAAAAATAGCAAATGACCAGAAACAGCCTCAGCAATTACTGCACCACCAGTCAAACCCAAACTTGGCTAAAACAGGAGTATTTTAATATAAAAACTACTTATTTAAGAAAACATTTATCCCTAAAACCATTCTGGCTGCTGCTATATTGCTGCATTTTACAACCTTATAAAGAAATAAGGAGTTGTTATAACATCAGCCATTTGCTGTCTCTGGGCTAGGGATACCATTTAGCAGATTTATATTGTACTGTGTTCAATGTCACAGAAATTTGCAATATACAACAGGTGAATTTTTGAATTAAAACTAACAGAAAATAAATCACATCTTTAAAACTTTGTATTTCCTGCTGCTCTGAGTTATGAACTTTATTCAGATTTGAAAATTATCCTAATCTTCTATAGACTTTTCTTTCTTCTGCAGATAGTCCATTATCCTCTCTCTCTTTTTCATAAAAAAATCAAGAACTTGTACATTACTTAACTTATCCCCACTGTTCCAGGGTCCATCACAAGGGATGGTCCAAACAGAATATAATGTTTAATTGATATACAGCACCAAATTAGGATGGTCCCATTGCAATTACAATAATTCCCTTTGGATGACCATTCCCCCAAGTGAATAATAAAGTGCCAGGAGAAGGATGTCAAGAAATTTGGCTGCCAGGCTGCTCTGAATGGAGGATACCCACCAGTGGTGCAAGTGGAATCAATTTTTTACTGGTACGGGGGGCCCCCAGGAGGCAGCGGGGAAAGGAGCAGAATGCCAGCAGCTCCTCCAGAAGCTGTACTGCCCCAGCCCCACCTCCCCAAGCCCTGTCCTCCAGGGGGCTGCTGCTGGGAGCCCGAGGAGACACAGTTCAGTGAAAGGGCAGGGGGTGGAGCTGGGAGTTCTGCTCCATTCCCCACTGTGGTTCCCAGGAGTGCCCTGAACCGCAGGGCTCTCCTAGGAACCGCAGCGGGGAAAGGAGCAGAACATGTGGCCACAGGGTGGCCCCACGCCTGCAGCTCCTCCGGCCTGTCTGTACCCACCCCTAGCCCTGCCCCCAGCCCTGTCCTCTGGCGGGGCTGCTACACAGACAGAGGAGATCCTGTGTGGAAGGGCTGGGAGCAGTACAGCTGCGACAGAGGAGCAGCCCCATGTTCTGCTCCTCCTCTTTCCAGTGTGCCATACCAGCTATAAATATCTTGCTGGCATGGCATACCAGACCATATCGCCCTACTTCCACTGCTGATACCCACTTATCTGTCAGAAGGGCAGTTTTTGGCCTTTTCTCACCTATAATGATTCAGCCAGATTAACATAAATAATAATTCTTTATTTAAAAGAGACCAATACAATTCCCTTTTCTTAGCATAAAGCACTGAAACAAATATCACAATGCTGCACAATTTAAATTTTGAACTCATCCCAAATCAGCCTGGAGGACCAGATCATTGACATTTTGCTAACATGTGTGGAGTAGTGGTGGCAGGGAGCAAAGAGAACAGATATGCATAACCTATGCAGTTAGCAAGAGTTAAGCTACTCAGCCCCCAAGCAGCAATAATATGCTTTTTTTTCTTCATCTTTTCTTTTATTAAAGAGAGTTTCTAAAAAATCCTATTAACCTAGGGGCAATAACAGTTGGAAATTCCTGATTACCAATGGCCACAGCATAATCTGTTTGTTCATTCCCTAAAGGGATGGGGAGGTTTAATTGTATTATCCAGAACCAGTTACCCACAAGAAATACACACTTCCCCTTGCTTCTCCTGTAATTCCAGTGCCTGCTGTTTTGAAATCTTTTCTAGAAGTATCATCTTAGAGGAGTGACAAATGCAGGGATGGTATATAAATGAGTACTTCCTTCATGAGTGGGCAAAGGTGTGGCAGAGTATATGGCATACCCAGATGTGAGTGCATGTCCTCATGCTCAGAGATGTCCAGGGTGAATATTCAGCACCTCCAATTGTACACATTCAGGGTCAGATTCCTACTTCGTACTCCACTGCCAAGGGAAACTGGTCCCAGAGCTAGTGTGTCTGGTCCCAGGAGGATCACTTCAAAACAGAGGGAACCTTTGCTGGCTTAGTGACGATTTATTAACTTGTGAAGAAATGTACTATCTCTTTAAAGGACAGTTATGGGGTTATGGCCATGGCTGCTCTAACTTACAAACACTGACCAACCCAGCAGTCAGCTCACTGTTTAGGAAGTGCAGTGGTGACACTTATGTCCATTTTGCACCCCCCCTAACCTGCTATGTATGATTCTCAGATGTAGCTGAAGATTTGGCCCCTGTTGTTACCCATCAGGGTTATTCACTCCCCATAAAAAGCACATGTCAAACTACAAAAGATCTATAACAGTTTAACTAGCACACAGTAGTGTGACAAAAAAAAAAGAGTAAAAAACCCATCATCCAAATTAGGGGGTATGTAATTGGACACAAAACCTCTTATCTAACAGGTCTCCAGTGAAAAAAGTTGTTATCTTATTGGTGTTTGGTGAGAACTGGATTGACAGTTCCACTCTAATTCTTAGTGGGCAAAAATAGTCATTGCATTTGACACCCTTCTTCAACTGCAAGGCCAAAACTCAAATGGGCACAGAACATGAACTTCTTAGCAGGGGTCCTCCAGATGATGGTTGAGGAACATTCATTGATGAGCTGGAGGAAGTTCTCACAAGCCCCTTAATAGGAGAGCTGAGTTTTGTGTTCAGTGTTGGAGAATCTCAGGGCCTGGTTTTAAGAAGTGCTGAGCACCCACAGCTCCCATAAAGCTCAGTTCAAGGTGTTGGTTCTCAGCATCTCTAAACAATTATTTTTGAAAGCTAGTCTCTGGTTTTCAAAGTAAACTTCTAGACCTTTTCTCAGCAAAGTTAACCTTCCCACCGTGGATTGATTATGCTGCATAGGAACTAATCATGTCTGTGGAGGGGAAGAAGGAAAGTCGGCAAATATTTATTTTGAAGGCCCAGTCAAAAAAGACAGCTCTGCTTGTTAAAATCACTTCTGATGCTGCTCACTCAGAACTTGATTGTCCCTGCCCTTGCACATGTGGGAAGAGGGGTAAATGTACAAGAAGTTATCTCTGTGAAGGGTCAAGAACAATTATAGTCTCTGGGAGTGCACATTGACCTAAAGAGGATTTTGAAAAAGCAGAGCATGACCCTTCCCTTATTTTGTACCAGCTGCAGCACAGCCTGGAACACCAGGAAAGCAGTAAGCATATTAATAGTGCAATCTGCACACATGCACCCTTCTCTGTTACACAGAGTTATGCCAAATAGATACAACCTAGCCCTTCCGCATCAGCTGCATTATGTGTGTACCCAGTGCTGTTGCAGCTTCTGCAAGGGCAACATCCATCCTGCCTCTGTCCCTACTTAACCCCACATACTCCCAGCTGCCCCAACAGGAAGGGGAGAGGAGGTAGGTTCAACTAATGCTGCACTGAGTGGAGTCCTCCAGCCACTATCACCTACCTCTCTCTGCCCAACCTCCATTTAGAGTTCAAAGAAGCAGTCAAAATCTGCACTTTTGCCTGGCCCACCCCAGACTCTAGCCACAGAGATCAGTCTTTCATTTGACACTTGTGCATACATCCATTTAGGAGCAGGGAAGACTCACTCATCCCAAGAAGCAAAGGGAACCCTTTCCTCACCCAGCCTATCACTGAATGGACCTTGTTTCATTCTGACCAAGCACTTACTAGCTAGTGGCCATAGGACATGTGCCTACCACTATTGCAGCCACTCTAAGGAACAGTTCCCAAGTAAGGGAGCCAACTAGAGGATCCACCATGAGGTGCTGGAGTTGGAAACCTGGTGGAGTGTGGCAGGTGGAAGGACAGGGGGGTTTGCAGGAGTGGGGAAGAATATGGAATTAATAGATGATTTTACTCAGGAAATGTGATATGTATTGGTGACTGAGGTGATTTATTATTAGCAAGACCCTTGTAAAGATAAACATTTATTGCATTACTTGAAACAGTGGTGGGAAAATGTGTGCTGCCACTGTCCATTCTGTAAATAAGATTTAGTCCTCAGGGCTGTCAATCCAGTACTTTACACTAAACAAAACAAAAATGAAAAGTCATGTTCCATGCTTGAGTTTTTCATGCAACTTTGAACGTATTGTACTAAACAATTACCATTCCAATTCCTGAATACGGCTTTGAAAGACATCAGTTTTGAAAGATGATTTGGTTAATCCCCATACTATTCTGATGTATTTGCCCATAGAGTTATTTCAGTACAAAGAAATGCAGGAAAAGATTTGCCTATTTCAACTAA